TCAACTGAACATAGCATTATAGGAGAACTTCCTGACTTTGGGGCAGGCAAGTAGAATATGCAGTTATCCAAAATGTGTTCTCAGTTTAACTGAAACTTCTTTCCAAATGAGAGAACCTATAATTTTACTCTTTTCAGCATCACAGATTTTAGAAGTAATAAAGTAGTTGACGCTTTTCAATTTCTCTCTGTTCCCTCATAATTGTGAGAGAAATTTACATCTTCCAGCATAATGTAATTTCACATTATTAATAAGAATTCTGCCAAGATTAATCATGTCTTTTAAAATAAGAATATGAGACATCATTTAAAGAGCCATGTAAGAAAAGGAGAGAAGCATAAAATTTAGAATAACTGCTCTTGCTGTTTCCAGAGGAAAGTCAACATTCTTAGAATCATCATATGTCAGATTGCAAGACAGAAGTGATACATGATGTCAAGTGTGAGGTAACAGTGAGAGTTTCTGAGTTATAGAAACCTTATTTTTAAACCACAAAACAATTTGGTATTAAAATACCAAAAAATTTATAGTTATGTTATATTTTTAACTTTGTTATTTTTATTTAGAGAGTTGAATTATGAGCATTGTTGTCATGCTTTTTTTTTTTTTTTTTTTTTGAGTCAGTCTTACTCTGTAGCCCAGGGAGTGCAGTGGCATGCTACTCACGGCCACCGCAGTCTTGACCTGCTGGGCTCAGGTAATCCTTCCACCTCAGCCTTCCAAGTAGCAGTGACTACAGGCATGTGCCACCATGCCCGGCTAATTTTTTGATCTATTGTAGAGATGAAGTGTGGCCAGGTTGCCCAGTCAGAGCTTGAACCCGTGAACTCAGGCAGTCCTCTTACTGCAATCCTCTCACTTCAGCCTCCCCAAGCGCTAGGATTATAGGTGTGAGCCACTGCACACAGCTTGTTGTAATGCTTTTTAAAACTTAGTGTTATCTATTACTAGAATCAGGAGCAAGCTATGATTTTTTTTTTTTTTTTGAGTTGGAGTCTCACTCTGTCGCCCAAGCGGGAGTGCAGTGGCACACTCATGGCCACCCCAGTGTCAACCTGCTAGGCTCTGGCGATCCTTCCACTTCAGCCTTCCAAGTAGCCAGAACTACAGGCCCATGCTACCAAGCCAGGTTAATTTTTTATTTATTGTAGAGACAAGGTCTCGCCAAGTTGCCCAGGCTGGTCTCCAACCCACGGGCTCAGGCAGTTCACACGCCTCGGCCTCCCAAAGTGCTGGGATTATAGACTGAGCCACCAAGCCATGCCAAGTTATGGTTTTAATTCTGTGCTTTTATGCTTACACATACCAGGAACTGATACAAACACACAGTCTTAAGGACAAATAGGCAATCCATAGTGTTTCCCTAAGCTTTTAGAGGCGACAAAAGGTATGTTTGAGGACAAGGGAAATAGCTGGAACGTTGAGATAGTGTGGATGGAAAAGTATCACACTTGGCGTTTTTATATCACTCAGAGCAATTAAACAATAACATAAACTTAAGTAACATAAAAATCCAATCACTGCCTTAAAATATGATCATCTTACTGCCTTTTCCTGTTCTTACTAATAGCATGCTGGACATTTCTGATAGTAATCTGTATAGTCTTAAAAAAGGCAACATTAAGGTGATGTTATTTAATTTAAAAGCCATACGCGCTGCATGTTCTATCTCTTCAAGACTAGCCATTATTTTAGGCTTCTTGGACTTGCTAATGGAATTGATACTTTTATTTGGTCTACAAATTAAAATGTTGAAGACTCAGTACTTTTCTGCATTTCTTGGGTTCCCTTTCCCACCACTTTTTACATCAAGGTGCTCCTATTGATAGCTTTACTACGTATATGGGATATACTGAAACGTAAAGATTTGTGGAGCTTACAGTTTGTTTCTTTTCTTTTCTTTCTTTTTTTGAGTTGGAGTCTCACTCCATTGCCCAGACTGGAATGCTGTGGCATGCTCACGGCCACCCCAGCATTGACCTGCTGGGCTCCAGCAATCCTTCTGCCTCAGCCTTCCAAGTAGCTGGAACTCCAGGCACGTGCTACCATGCCCAGCTAATTTTGATTTATTGTAGAGACGAGGTCTTGCCAAGTTGCCCAGGCTGGTCTCGAACACGCAGGCTCAGGCAATCCCCTCGCCTTGGCCTCCCAAAATGCTGGGATCATAGGCTGAGCCACCGAGCCTGGCTCAGTTTGTTTCTTTAACAATCACAAACTTTATATTCCCAGTACACATTTTCATTTGACCCCTAGAACTTGTCTGACTACGGGTGCCATTTCCCACATCTCAGACATTCCACAAATACTTTGTGCCTGCTGTATGTCAGACACTATTCTAGGTGCAGGGAACAAAGCAAACAAAATTCCCAGCCTCTCTAGCCCCTATGATTGGAGATTTAACAATACCTCTGGCCACACTGTGTGGGAAAAGCACACAGGCACACTCACTATAAAGCACAAGCACTCATCATCTAGAATAAGGGACAGTCAGAAGGGAAAGAGACAGAAAAAGAAATGTGTGTTTTGGGAAGAGAGTAAGAGACCAACCTGTTATTTGGTGCAGAATAGTAGTTACATAAGAGTCATACACCATTCATGGAATCTTTTCTTCATGGGCCCTCTCTTTCTTATTTTCCATGCTGCATCTTCCTTGTCTTATATACCTCCAGGCACTGGAGGCCCTGGGACCTTTTTTCTGCTATACTACGTATACTGGCTCATTTCATTCAGATCCATGTCGTTTTAAGTTATCTCTATGTCTATGATGCCCAGACGTATAGTTCTGCTCAGATCTCTTCCCTGCACTGCAGATCTTTAAATCAATTGTCTCTTCTATATCTTACCTGATTCACTAATAGACCCATCACACTTTATATGTGCAAGACAGGGGTCGTGACCTTTCTGTCCCTTCCTCTCACATTCTGCTTCTCTCTCTCTCTGCTTTCTTCCTACTGTAAATGGTGCCACCATTCACCCAGTTGCTCAGGTGAAAAATTGTAGTTCTCCTTGATTCCCTTCCCTTTCACCTCACATTCAAACCATGAGCAAATCCTTAACATAAATCCTGAATTTCTTCGCCACTAATATTCTAATCCCAATTCACCATCATCAATCAACCGAATCGGTTCCTGCAGTAGTTTCCTAATTAACCGCCACTCTTGTTCTTCCAGGGCTTCCCACATTGTGAATTCATTCTTTTAAAATACAAATCACATCATATCCCATCCTGCTCAAAACCTAAGTATGTCTTCCTGTTGCACTTTAAACTACAATTCAAGTGCCTACTTTGGTTGCCAGGCTCTAGAACCTGGCCCCTCTCCACCTCATACCCTACTTCTTGCCCCCTAATCTGACCACTTTAACTATTTTGACTTCCTTGCTTGGAATACCAAGTTTATTTTTGCCTCAGAGCTGTTGCACGTGCTGTTCCCTAGGCCTGGGGTCTCCTCTCAGATAATTGCATGGTTTGTTCCTGTCATCGACCCTCTGCTCAAATGCCAACTTGGAGAAGAACTCATGATCACTCACCCTGTTATTCCATCCAGTTCCTCTTATTCCCTGCTATATATTTTAACACTGCAGCATGCTATTACGTTATATTCTGATTCTTTTGTTTAATGGTTCTTTATCTATATCCAACATTAAAATGCAAGCACCATGAGGACTCCATTTCGTTTATTACTGAAAGTATGAGAATGCTTGGTATTTAATATGTATTTGTTGAGTGAATGTATAATCAAATGAATAAAACTTCTAAGGGCTGTCATAGAAGCCCTAGAATGGGTATCTGCCAAAAGATAGAGAAATAAGAAATTTCTGCCTTTGGTGCATTTTGTCCTCATTGTTACCAGAAATTCTGAGATTTGAGCATAGAATGAATGAAATACTTTCTTAAAGAACTCAGAGTCTCAGTAATAAATACCTTTTTACCCCTTGTATCATATCACTAACCAGCTTGTCCATATTCTAAGACAATTATTAGTTTCCATGTATTCTAAGAGAATTATTAGTGTCCATATTCTAAGACAATTACTAGTTTCCATGTATACTTGTCATTCATTTTAGAATACACTTTTGTACAAAGCCCATAACATATTCTAGTATTATTAAAAAAAACTTATATTTAAATAAAAGTTATATACCTCAGGACCCAGGATATGACTGTGTGTGTGTGTGTGTGTGTGTAAAATGAAAGTATAGAATGAGGATGTGGTAATGTCAAACTATATTGTAGCTGGTAAATTATTTGGTTACTTTGAATGTGTCATTTTGTTTGTTTTTCTGTATTACTTTCACAAAGAAAAATATATATATTGTTTTTATCACTCATATTTTGGAACTTCCTGATAAAATATGCCAATCAGAATGTGTGAATTTCATATTACTTTCAAGAAGAGTTATTCCCATTTCAAATATCTCATAAAACTTAACTTCTCCAGCCTCTAATTTTTTTTATATGATGCTTTAGTGCTTCTTTTTTGCCAAAGACCAACGACATTCATCCAGAGTAATTTATCTTCATGCAATTGAGTCTAAGCAAATTAATTCATCTTAGTGTGGTTGAATGAAATAAGAAAGCAGAGACACTTGAGATAATTAAAATGAAATTAAAATTTTTAGACTTTTAACCCACCTCATTTCATAAAGGATATGAACTTCCTTTAAAGTTTGCATATAATAAGATTTTTAAATAAAATGAGTTAGGAAGGGGAGGAGAATAAACTTGAGAATTGAGTTAAAACTCTTTTAGCCTGGTGCAGTGCTTTTGAATGCTTCCTGAGCATGTCAGCTATTTGATGAGACATGCTTTATTGCTTTTCTATTTACATTTGCATAACCACTTTTAAGCAGAAAACCTGCATGATTTTAAACTTATTTAAAAATCTTCTAAATTAAGTGATTTATTGAGTTGTACTATTGACCTGCAACACAAATATTAGTAGAAAAGAGCACTGAGAAATATTCAGGCCAGTTTATACAGCATTTTGTTTCCTCTTCAGGAAATGATGCAACATCAATTGTCAACTGTCTTCATATTTTGGGTCAGACTTTGGATGCAAGGTAAATGGATATATTATTATTATGTAAATAAATGACTGTAATGATGATGTATGCATAAGAATGTTAAGAAGGGCTCAGTGTCTTGATTTTTTTTCCTTTGGATTTGTGGCAGATATTTTCCTGTAGTTGAAAAGAAAAACTTTTGTAAATTATGAATACAATGGCAGTTTATTTTTATGTTCATATGTAGTTTATTTAATTTTAAGTAGTTTTTATAGCACCTAAGAACATAACTGAGGGTTGAATTGGTAGTGTATCATGTGAGGAAAACATGGTAAACTGACAACTCAAGAGGTCTTATAAGCTTCCAGGCATGGTGTTTGTGCTCACATTCATAATAGCATTTGGTTTTGTAAGGAACAGAGTTTAATTTTCATTTTACAGATGAGTAAAGCTATGTTTAAGATTGCATAGTAAGTATTTAGGTAGACTAATTCCCACGTGTGTGTGATTTCTCCTCTGCCTGTCATCAACGTGATCAAAAATCAAGCATGTTAACCAAATACAAAATTAGTTTGTTTTGCATGATTGATTCAGTCTTTAAACTATACGTGTAGTTCCTGTAATACCCAGGATAAATCTGGATAAGAGTTTATAAATGTCTCCTTCAGAGAATATCCCATAATACTCTTTGAGTACCATTCTAGTGTTTAAGATTTTATTTGAGTTATTTTTTATAACAAATGTAGAACGGAACCATTTTATATCTTCATTTCCTACTAGACATAGTGCCATTAAGGTGTTACTTCTCTATACAATGTTCAGCCCTCAAAGGCTTCTTTAGACAAGACTTGATTGCTACCCCTAAGCACAAAGTGCCTATATCATTTGAGGAGTTGGTTTAGCTGGCATTAAATGTTTCTTTCATAACCATTGCCTCAGGAACATTCTTGTTTTGTGGGATTTGGGATTAGCTATACTGACTCAGAAGCTGTGTCTTGTTAGTCATAAAATAACTATTGTCAAAATTGGGGACCACTAATGGAAAATGTAAGACATTAGCATAGTCTCTTGCTCCAAGGTTTTAATTAAGTTGACTATGAAGACATTTGGGGAAGGTGATTTATAGAGTAGTATTGCCATAATTTTACATACACTGAAAAAATTGCTTTAAAGTTGATTTTCAAAATGCATTCGACTGGTAGGTACTGTAATGGAGAAACTTACACAGTGGAGAGCCATGTTTTGTTTGTATTTCATTTGTTTCTGTCAGAAGGTGCAAGTCCTCCCTTATTTGCTTTCTAGGACAGTGATGAAGACTGGCCTGGAGAGTGTTAAAAGTGCACTCAGAGCTTTTCTGGACAATGCTGCCGAGGATCTGGAAAAGACCATGGAAAATCTTAAGCAGGGCCAGTTCACCCACACCCGGAACCAACCCAAAGGGGTGACTCAGATTATCAATTACACCACAGTGGCCCTGTTGCCAATGCTGTCGTCATTATTTGAACATATTGGCCAGCATCAGTTTGGAGAAGACCTAATATGTATGTAAATGTGTTACTTAGAGTTTCATTATTGAAATACACTGTGGTACAATAGGAAATTGTAAAGGCCACATCTGGGTTACTTAAACACTGCTTATACATTAAGATGCGCTTTTTTGGCAAAACTTTATAGGTTGATGTTTGAGTGATAGCAACCATTCTAATAGAAATAGATCTCTGAATCACATGAACTCACGGAGAAGACTGGTGAGGTACTGATTATGAACAGTAACTTCCACATTGTTGGTTCCACATGGGTTTCAGATTTTACTTACATCTACATTGCCTCTTTTTGTGTAAATTTTCTAATGCAGTTGGACCATATGACATGCAATAGTAAATGTTTTCAAACATTGTCTCCATAATCTATACTACCAACTAATAGGAGAACTACTGAGACAATGTATATCTAAGTAATTGTTCTATTAGGGTGGCTCAAGTCATCTTCCATGTAGAGATTGCAGTCAGTCTTTATGGGGGATTTAATCAGCTGGCTTTGGCTGGAATTTTGTAGTTATTAAAAAATCCACAGAGTGTCCAAGATTAAGCGGAAAAAATACACAAGCTGTCCTAACTCCCCATCTTCTGCAGACATGAACATGAGACAAGATATGATCCTTTGAAACGCTGCTTCAGACTCTCATACTGTAGGTTCTTCAGGTAATGGGCAGCTCTGTGTAAAAACCACTGAGTTATTCGGTGGATGCCACAACTACCAGTAGCAAAATCTATATTTTGAAATATTTTTTAAAGAAAGCATGCTTAGATTTGCCATTTATTTTTTTTATCCATATACATTTATGGGTACATGTGCAACTTTGTTGCATGTGTAGATTGTGTAATAGTCAAGTCAGAGCTTTTAGGGTGCTCATCACCCAAGTAACATACATTACACCCATTACGTAGTTTAGTATCATCCACCTCCCTCTTACCCTTTTATCCTTTCAGTAGTTGTCTATTATTCTATTCTCTACATCCACGTGTACATATTTTTTAGCCCCCACTTATGAGTGAGAACATAAGATATTTGAGGTTTTGTACCTGGCTTGTTTTACTTGAGATAATAACCTCCAGTTCCATCCATGTTGCTGAAAAAGATGTGGGTATATTCTTTTTTATGACTGGATAGTATTCCATTGTGTGTGTGTGTGTGTGTGTGTGTGTGTGTGTGTGTGTGTGTATCACATTTTCTTTATCCAATCAAAATCTTCATTTTAACCATTGTTTGTGGCACAGTGTGTATGTGGAAATAGGTCTGAAGACAGGGAATATCATTTCATTCACATCATGGTGTATTCCCCAGGAAATGGTAGCAGAGTTGGAATTAGAAATTTAATGTTCTTAAATTCCTTGATTTTTAAACTTGTCTTATTGGAGAATAGATCATCTACACGGTTTTATTTTAATTTTTTTAGTACCCACAACTGCTGGAGTAACTGACTTTGGCCCTAAATATCAGGTCATTTAACTAACAGACTGTATCCTCCAGTAGTCTCATTATCATTTATCTGAGAGTGATGGTAAGATACAGTCCTTATATACCTTTGGAACAGGAATCAACATATACCTGTATCCCCTCTTTTGCCAGACGCTCTTACACTTAATCTTATTCTTGGAGAAATCCTTTGTTCTTACACCTAGAGAAAACTTATAAAGAAATTGTTTCTGAAAATGTTCTGAATAACACAGCACATTCTTTAGAATGTTTTGGTTCTTTAAAGAGAAGAATTTCGAGAAAAACATTTTATATTTTAAATCTGTTCCTATTTTGTTTTTTCCAAGTGTTAAAATATTAAAATGCCTTTAAAATTGAATTTTATTCTTAGCCTAAACTTTCTCAGAGGAATGTATAAATAAGTGGTTTTCACTCAGGTGAGATTCTCTTTTTCCTTAGTGGAAGATGTCCAGGTGTCTTGTTATAGAATTCTGACGAGCTTATATGCTCTGGGAACCAGCAAGAGTATTTATGTGGAGAGGTAAGATTTTTTTAAATTTAACTTTTTATCAATAGCTGTTTTCAAGTCTTGTAACTTTATTTTTATTTCAAGAGTCTTCCTTTCATAACTTTTTTCTTGGTTGTAAACTAAACCAAATGGACCTTCTAAATTCTTTGGGAGTAATTAGACAATCTTTAAACTAGATAAGAATTGGTGTAATAAAAAACACTGGAGTTATGAACACAAGGCAGGCAATTATGGTATAGATCATACTTAATATAAAGTTTAAACTTACAGTGCTTACAAGTCATGTGAAACAATCTGCCTAGTACATTTTCTTATTATTTATCAGAAATACAAAGTAAGCATCAACATAGATAGTTATTAAAACCAGTATTATGTTTTCAAGTTCTTAAGTTTCAGAAGGGAATGGTTAACAATGTCAAAAGACAGATAAAGTAAGAAAACATAGCTCCATTGAATTTAAAATGAGAGATCATTGGCAACTTCAGTAAGGAATTTCTGTGAACTGGAGAAGAAAAATAGAACCTTTTTTTTTTTTTTTTAAGAAAACTGAAGTAAATAAAAAGACATTCTGTTAGAAGATTTAATATTGAATGGATGTAAATTTCTCTGAAATTAATCTATAATTAATTACATTACAATTTCGAACAGAAACTTGCTTTTTATTCAACTTGACAAAATAATTCAGAAGTTCATTTCAAAGAATAAACCCATCAGACTGGCAAATAAAATTTTAGGGGAAATAAAAGAGTAACATAAGGATATTCATGAGTTCTACCAGGTATTAAAACTTATGACGCTATAATAATTAAAATAGGGTGATAATTTTATATAGAAATAAAAAATTAGATTAATGGAAAAGCATAATCAGGTTCACTCTGGATATTTTAAAAAATTTACCTGCATTTTAAATAAACTCTATTTTCATATGACTTTTTTATGGTCATGAAATATCTCCTACTAAGGAAGTATTATAATCTGTTGAAATTTTACTTATTTTTAACATATAGGCTGTTTTCCCTTTTTCACTAATATAATAATGCTAGATCTATGCTCATTAATTCCTATGTATTTTATGCTAATTTCCTTTAGCTGTATTTTCAAAATTTGTAATTCTAGTTTAAAGGATATGCATATATAGGATTGTACTATTATTTCAGTATCTTTTCAGAAAATTGATTCAATTTACATTCTCAGATTTCACAAGCAAATGCTAATTTCCTCACTTTTTTTCTCATAACTGATTTTTTTTTACTGTTTGCAAATGCAGTCGTTAAAAATGGCATCCCATTTTTGTTTTCAAATGCTAATTTCCTCACTTTTTTCTCATAACTGATTTTTTTTTTTACTATTTGCAAATACAGTTGTTAAAATGGCATCCCATTTTTATTTTCAAATACATATTCTTAATTACCAGTTACTTGCTATTTTTTTGTTTTCATGTTTACTATTTGTCTTTATTTTATGAATTGCCTTTTCTCGTCTTTTGTCTATTTTTCTGTCAATGTAGTATCATACTAATTTGTGACGCTTTTGTTTATTAAAATGATTAACTTCTCGCCTATTATTTCTCCTGTTTTCATGGGTTTTGATATTTTTGTACCTTTTTACAATGCTTATATATTATAAAACACTGTATGCAGATACTGTTGTATGACATAGGAATTTTGAGTTTTTGTATATTCACTTTTTATCTAATCATTTTTGTATAATCAAATTATGAATTATTTCATCTTCTTAGTTTTATAACCTTATAAGTTTATACTTCTATCAGGTAAAAAAATTAAATATTCTTCTCAGTTTCCATGCTTTTGGTTGTTTAGATGTAGCTTTTTAACTCTATTGTTTTCACTCACTAAATATTTATTAAATGCCAGATGCTTGGATACAACAGTGAACAAGACAAGTTCCCTACCTCCATAGATTTTATGTCTTATAGGGGAAACCAAAACAAAACAGACAAGTAAACTGATACATATTTTAGTGGCAGGTTATATTTCGTCCTATGAAGAATCATACATATAAAGATTGAGGTACTCAGGGGTGTATCTTTAGTGACTTTTTAAGCTCATAACTTTTTCCCATGCAACAGGAAACAGGAATAAGATATATCAGGTGTAAGTAGGTGTGCATCTAGTAGCTTCTGTTCTCCCAATGAAGTGTGGCTTAAATCCTCTACCAAATGATGACTGAGAAAAGAGGTGTGAGAAGTTTGAGCAAAGTAGAGAATGTCTGAAATGGTCATCTCTGGAGTAAAAGGGAATTTACTAGAAATATATCTGAATTTGAGGACCGGGCACAGTGGGTCATACCTGTAATCCCAGCACTTTGGAAGGCTGAGGCAGGGGGATTGCTTGAACCTGGGAGTTCAAGAGCAGCCTAAGCAACATAGCGAGACCTCATCTCCATAAAAAATAAAAATATTAGCTGGGTGTGGTGGCGTGTGCTTATAGTCGCAGCTACTCAAGGAGGTTGAGCCCAGTAGATGAGCCCTGATTGTGACACTGCACTCCAGCCTATGTAACAGAGTGAGGCCCTGACTCAAAAACAAAAACAAAAACAAACAACAACAACAAAAAAAACAGAGAGAGAAAATATTTCTTAATTTTATGTCCCTTTGGTGTTATGAAGGATTCAAATTCAATTCTTTAAATCATCCACCATGTGTAAAAGTCATTTTTAAATATTTTCAATCTACTGATTTAAAACAAAACCCTCATTATATATTAAAATAATATATTCACCTGGTTATATTTCTAGAATTTCTGTTCTGTTTGAATTTTAAACTAGTATCTCAGTATCAAACAGCCTGAATTGTTAGTATTTTGTAACATATTTTATTACATGGTAGTTCAGATTCTTCATTCCTTCTTGTTGGTGTTGATGTTGTTTCTGTTGTTTCTCTTCTTACCTATATACTTTTCTTGACAAAATTTCAGGTCATTTTGTTAGGTTCTAAAGAAAAAATACTCAGGGCATTGTGTTTTGCTTTTCCCCCTTTTTGCAAATAATTTTGCAGTTACAGAATGATTTTTGGGAGAACAAAAAATAAAATTTCAAAAGTAAAAGATATTTTGAAAAATAAAAAAGTTACATTGTACTAATAAAAATGTAGATATTTTAATACAATTCATCCAAAACAAAAAATTGATATTTCCACAGTACCAACACAAAATATCAGAATTAGTCTGAGAATTACTACTTGAATCAGAATTTTTAGTGAATTATTCATGAAATTAAAGAACTAGTCCAACTAGATATGAGGAAATAACACCTTTGGACTCATACATGAAATATTTTAGGCTAGTCTTTTTAAAAAATTTTTAATTGATGGATAATAATTATGTGTCTTTCTGGGATACAGTTTGGTGTTTTGAGATATATATGCTTTGTGGAATGATTAAGTCAAGCTAATTAACATTTCTGTCAACTCACTTACCTCTTTTCATGGTGAGATATTTACAATTTACTCTCTAGCAATTTTGAAATACGCAGTGTACATTATTTGGTAATCATGCTGTACTGTAGATATTTTGAACTTATTTCTCCTGTGTTATTGAAACTTTGTATCCTTTGACCATCATCTTCCCCCTCCTAGTCATTTTTCTCTCTACTTCTATGAATTTGACATTTTTAGACTCCACATACATATGGGATCATGCATCTTTGTCTTTGTTAGGCTATTAAGTTCTTAAATAAATTATATCTCAGAATTTGAAAACATTTATTGAACCCAAACTGTGTTCCAGAAATTTTGCAGTTCTGCATTCCTATTTTTAGGTAAAGACGGCAAAGTTTAGAAGGAGTAAATAAGTTTCCTGTAGTCACAGCAGTGTTAGGGTTGGTACTGGAACTCTGAATAAAAGCCTGTACGCCTTGTAATTCCTGTGTCCTAAATAACTTTTAATAATGAAATATTATTAAATGTTTGAATTAAACTCTGTTGTATTCAGTGTCATTCTTATGAAAGAACATTTTTTGCTAATTGATTAGATATGTAGTCATTTTTAATTAAAATATTAGAAAATCAGGCATTGATCATTTTAAGTATTATAATGAAATTTAAAATTTCTCCTAAGAGAATTATGCAATGTTTTCTTGATTAAATTAATTTTATTGACTTTTAAAATAAAATATGTATTCATAATGTTTTAAGGAGTTTATAACACACTGAAATAACATTTTATTCTATACTTAATAAACAACTTAATGCACTCTCCCCCCCCCAAAAAAAGCCTTGGATTAAGTAAACAGTTAAGGGAGAGAGATAACTTATGTCACCTGCAAGGGAGCCTTAGGTCACAGCCTGTTCTGAATCAACACCTTCCTTCCCTCAATAATGATAAACCAATTTTAAGTGTTATTAATAGTTTTTTTAGTATATCTTATCATTTCGTAACTATCCTTAAATTAATTTTATATGACAAATTTGCAGAAAATGTATTAGTATATTAATATGTACTTCATTTCTTAATTTTCCTCAATCCACTTATTCACATAACAAGAATTCTTTTCCAGTAGGTCATTCTGTTAAAAAAAGAAAAGACCGAAGGAAAGGAAAGAAGGAATGAAAAGAAAAAGGAAGGAGACAAAGAAGAAAAAAAGAGGGAAGGAAAGAAGGAAGGAAAAGCAAAAAAATAATCCAAATTTGTGAAGGAAGTGCCAGAGCTTTTCTTGTTATTTTGGTCTGAACTATTTTTAACTTCTTTTTGGCTAACAGATAATTTAACTTTTTTTTGGTTAATGGCAAGAAACTTGCTGTTGAAAACATATGGTGTTTTGCAATATAGAAAATTGGTTTGGGGATTAATTTTGTTAGTAGCAATATTATTGTCCCTTTTTTAAGGTTAAACTTGCCAATTTTAATATAACTTCTTCAATTATTCACTCAGAAGACCTAAAAACATAAGCATTTTTCACTTATAGGCAACGTTCTGCGTTAGGAGAATGTCTAGCTGCCTTTGCTGGTGCCTTTCCTGTGGCATTTTTGGAAACTCATCTGGACAAACACAATATTTACTCTATCTACAATACTAAGTCTTCAAGAGAGAGAGCAGGTAACACCCGAGCATGCGCAGTGTTTAAGACATGGAGCTAAAACTTAATGGCATGTATTGTATTCTCCTACAGGTTTCTTTAACGAGCTGTTTCAGTGTACCATCTCCAGTGCTCTTTGTTCTGCAGTGCTAATTTTTAGTATCATATATTTTTGGAATGCCATATACTCGTTCCCTACTGTTTTTGAAAGAAAATTAATTGAATTTCTTGCAAGTGAATAAGCCATCTATAGGTTAACACTCTTGAGAATAAGACAGAATGATTAGCAAATGTGGAAAAGATTGGTCAATCTGATTTCTGATTTAGTTATCGCTAATAATTCATCAGCAAGGGGTGTGGCATTGTTATTCATTACGTGTATGGATTTGTACCCTTTACTTTTCCTTGTTCACCAGATATGTCTTATTCAGACAGTTTTATTCCATGTGATTTTTAAAAAATAGGTCAGTCCAAATTTTATCCTAAAAGACTTAGAAATGGCTGAGCGCCATGGCTCAGCCTGTAATAATCCCAGCACTTTGGGAGGCCAAGGTGAGAGGATTGTCTGAGCCCAGGGGTTCGATACCAGCCTGGGCAACTTGGTGAGACCTCATCTCTACAATAAATTACAGAATCCAGCCCGGCGAGGTGGCGGGTGTCTATAGTTCCAGCTACTTGGAAGGCTGAGGCAGAAGGATTGCCTAAGCCCAGTCCATTGTGGCTACAGTGGCTGTGAGTGTGACACTGTACTCCAGCCTGGGTGACAAAGAGTGAGACTACAATTCAAAAAAAAAAAAAAAATTAGATACATAAATCTAGGACACGTTTTCTCAACAACTTTAATTTGCACCAGCCCTAGCATGTGTATCCCTAAGATTTATGTTTTTATGAGTATACTTGGTATCTATATAATCAAGTTTCCTGTTGCTTTCCATTTGCTGGATGGATAGACCCATGTTTTTCACTATCCTAATTGAAAAAGCTTTTAAACCATTGCTGATTATTCAGTGATTAGGTTTTAGGAACCTGTTAGAATTATTAAGTGTGATTTGAAAGGAGTTGGATAAACAAATAATAAAGTGGAAACTAGTTCTAATCATCACTTTCAAGCAATCAAACTCTGGACATTACACAGATGCCTTCTCATACAATTTTTGTTTGTTTGATTGGTTTCCTCTAAGTCTGATAAAGTTTGTTATATTTTATTTGTTTTCCAATAGCCCTAAAAAGTTCTCAAAACTTGAGCACTTGAGGAAGGACTATTTGCTGTTCATGAATGCATACTTCTCTGTTAGTGAGCTTTTCTGTGTAACTCATGTTTTTATGGGAGCTCTGGTTACACTGATTTTATAGTGCATCTTATCAAGTAAGAAATCTTTTAATAACTTGAATAAGTATTATGTTTGGCTATTTTATAATTCTGATTTTAAATAAAAGAAGAAGTTAAGAAAATATGTGGAATGGAATTAGTAGTGTTTTCTACATAATTTTCGCAATATATTTGAAAGGTAGTTAATGAAAAATGATTAAGTATAATTTATTAATATTCTGCATGAACATAAAGAGTTATCTTATTAAGGCTTTGATCACTTGATATTTTTGCTATGAACTTAGAGTGAAGCAGATTTGTTATTTCATTACAGGTAAGGAATACACAAGGCAGATAATGTACTGGCCTATGTTTCCATAACATTATTTGCATAACAAAGTAAAATATTAAATTTAACGATTTATTTCGTTTTTTAGTCATTCAACAAATAATTGTTTATGATGAACATTGTAGTAGATGGGGGTAATATGATAGAAAGATGGATAGGAGCTGAATCTTTTCCCCAGGGAGTTTTTAGTTGCAGTGGAGGAAAGAGACTGATAAATATGTGTGATAGAATTCAGAATAAAAACCGTTGGGTACACAAAAAAAGCAGTTTTAACTGAGAACACTTGGGAAGACTTCACAAAGCTGATGCGAGATGAGTCTTGAAATTGAGAAAGAAATTTCAAGCATTTTGTTTGTTTGTTTCAATTATTCACTCAGAAGACCTAAAAACATAAGCATTTTTCACTTATAGGCAACGTTCTGCGTTAGGAGAATGTCTAGCTGCCTTTTGTTTTGTTTTTTTTTTTGAGTTGGAGTCTCACTCTGTCGCCCAGACTGGAGTGCAGTGGCCGCTCCCGGCCACCGCAGCCTCCACCTGCTGGGCTCCGGCGACCCTTCCGCCTCAGCCTTCCAAGTAGCCAGAACTACAGGCGCGCGCTACCACGCCCGGTTCATTTTGATTGATTGTAGAAATGAGGTCTCGCCAAGTTGCCCAGGCGGGTCTCGAACCCGCAGGCTCAGTCAGTCCACTCACCTCAGCCTCCCAAAGCACAGGATTACAGGCTGAGCCACTGAGCCCGGTTTTGGATGTGGTTGGAGATAACTTTTGGGAAAGAAGAGATTGAGAATGAGACAAGAAGGAAAGCCAGAAAGAGGAGAAGCAGGCTTTGCGTGTCCGATAGGCGAGGAGTGCAGACTGTCCCAGTGGCAAAGAGGGTTATTTTTACTTGCTCTAAAACAACAGGAGTAACACAAGCAACTTGCATTTTAGGAATCTCTCCTGACAACAATAAGGAAGGTGAATGGCTGTGAGTCAGCAATTAGCAAGTAATTGTCGAATTCAGCAGCAGGTTGATGTTACAGGGATCCTTGGGTAGAATTTATGGAGAAGTGGTTGTGAGAGCTGCTGCAGGAAGTCATCTCATGTGAAAGATGAGAGAGCATCACAGCCTGGAAGTTCTCTCAAGTTTCTAGCTGGATGATGGACTGGATGATATCCCCACGAAGTTAGTGCATGCTCAAGAGGCAGATGGGAGACAAGTTTAAGTCGAGACCCCTTGTGTTTAGTTGGTTTTGAGACATGCAGGATTCGACAGAAACAGTGTTGAGATATGGCTTTGGGAGGTATCAGTTTATAGTAGAAGTGTATAGGAATGGCTGAAATTGTCTGGACAAACCTGTAAGGCCAAAAAAGAGAAGAGAGTTAAATCGATCCCTAAAGAAAACCAGCATTTAAACATCCAGCAAGGAGAAAAGAGTCAGAGAAAAGAGTCAACCTGCTCTTGAATACCACAACTACTTGCTAATTCCTGACTCAGCTATTCATCTTCCTTGTTGTTGTCAGGAGAGATTCCTAAAATGCAAGTTGCTTGTGTTACTCCTGTTTTTTTAGAGCCTGTAAAAATAACCCTCTTTGCCACTGGGACAATCTGCACTCCTCGCCTGACGTGCAAAGCCTGCTTCCCCTCTTTCTGGCTTTCCTTCTTGTCTCATCCTCAATCTCTTCTTTCCCGAGAACTGTCTTCAGCCACATCCAAAATCTAGGGGGCGTGAGTCAAAAAGGCTGGACACTCTAATGTAAGAAAGAGAGGAGTCTTAGGAAAAAAAGAATTTGGTCAGTGGCTTGAAATGCCACTGACCACTGGTGGGAAGATAAGGGTTGTAAAGTGTGAATTCGGTGAGCATTGGAAAGCAGGAACTTGGTTGCCTTGGACGGAGTTCCTGGATAGCTAAGGCTGCTGGGGAAGAGGCATCAGAGAGGAAGAGGTTGAAAACACATGCCTGAGCAAGTGTCCTGATGTGGGGAAGGCATCAGGAATGCGAGTGGAACTTTCCTCTGGAAATAGGGAATAGGAGTGAATTTGGGGCCGGGCACAGAAGGCTTGTAGGCCTTGAGAACAGGAAGTTGAAGGAAGAGAGACATTTGATGTTCTCCTTTGCTGTGAAATAGAAGGGATGGCTGTTTGCTGAACTTAAGAGAGTGGAGGTAGTGCAGGAACTTGGGAAAAAGAAAGAAGCTTTGAAATTGCTGCTATGAGAAAAGGGAGAAGGAGACTATCGAAAGCCTGCCAGGTCTTGCTAAGTTTTGAAGCCCAAAATGAAGTGGTTTCCGGTGTCTGTTATAAACAGGGGAAATCTACCATAGCATATCAGTTCTGGCACTGATTACAATCCGTTTTTATGTGTGCTTCTCCAGCTCTCAGTTTGCCAACTAATGTGGAAGATGTTTGTCCAAATATACCATCTTTGGAGAAACTCATGGAAGAAATCGTGGAATTAGCTGAGTCCGGCATTCGCTACACTCAGATGCCACATGTCATGGAAGTCATACTGCCCATGCTTTGTAGCTATATGTCTCGTTGGTGGGAGCATGGGCCTGAGAACAATCCGGAAAGAGCTGAAATGTGCTGTACAGCTCTGAACTCAGAGCACATGAACACACTTCTAGGGAACATACTGAAAATCATATACAATAACTTGGGAATTGACGAGGGAGCCTGGATGAAGAGGTTAGCAGGTAAGAATTGGAGTATCTAAAGCAATTTGAAATTCAGAACAATAGATTTTTCCTGTCATGGTTTTTATTAATTGTTTCTTCTGTGCTTAAAAAATTTTCTTAATTCTTTCTGTCATGCTATTTTTTTTAATGTAGATACAATCAGACATTGAGTAACTTTCCATATAGTTACTACTTTAAGTATTTTCCTAATTTGACAATTGTATAAGATTAATCAATAAACATGGCAGTAAAAACTAATGATTCTGTACAAAGACAAAAAGAAAATTGAATATCAAAACTACCCACTTTTGTCCTGTGGGGAGTGGGAAGAGTAAGTTTTAAAATGCAGTCTAATGTTTATAATTAGGTTTCTCTTTCACTGTATTATTTATATTGAAAAGACTGGAAGCAATCTAAGTACCCAACAACTAGAGTGGAGGGTTAAATGAAGTTATGTACATTCATATACCAGAATATTATGCCGTTTTTAGATGTTAAGATTTTGACAGTGTTTTTATGTCTTGGAAATGCTTATAACGTCATGAAGGGTGAAAACAAGTGAGTATAGTTTATAAGGAGCTTTTAAAACTATAGAACATTAAAGCATTACTATAGAATGTTGTATGTATAATATATGTGTTTATGAATTTATCTATTGATGAAAACTCCAAACACAGACGCCAATGCCTTACTGATTTGAGTAGGAGATTATGGTCAGTTTTAATTTTTCTCTATTATACATTTCATCAACGTCTATATGTTACTTTTATGGAAAAAGAAATTTCTTAAAAAATGGTCTAATCAAATTTAGAACTACTGTTAACAACTACAACTTTTATTAAATAAGAGAGCAGTGTTATATGTAATCGCTTTCATTGGGCCAAGGATGGGCTGGGTAAAAGAAGATAACTATATGTAGTCTCATGCGGTGATTATGTAGCAGAAAGTAAAGAAAGGGCTAGGTGAACCTTTTCCATTTAGAGATTTCTTTGTGTGAAAATAATTGATTTTTAAAGTGAATGAAAGTCTTTTTTGTTGTTCTATTATAAATGAGCAGTCAATCTTTTTTAAGAACAAAGAAACTCGTTGAATTCAATTCAGTAATCTTTTGTTTAACAGTAACCATGCAGTTACATGTAGGACTAGAAAAATGATTGAGGCATGGACTGTATGAAGGAAGCCATGTACTGGAGAAGAGAGAGACTTTAATCATGCTCTAAATGTAATTACAATTTTTATTCATTTTGATGAGTGTTTATACAGAACAGAATATTAATACTTTTCTTCAAACAGTATTTTCCCAGCCTATTATAAATAAAGTGAAACCTCAGCTCTTGAAAACTCATTTCTTGCCATTAATGGAGAAACTCAAGAAAAAGGCAGCTATGGTGGTGTCTGAGGAAGACCACCTGAAAGCCGAGGCCAGGGGGGATATGTCGGAGGCTGAACTTCTCATCCTAGATGAATTCACTACGCTGGCCCGAGATCTCTATGCCTTCTACCCTCTCTTGATTAGATTTGTGGACTATAACAGGTATAATGATCAAAAGTAACTTAGTAATTTCCCTAATTCAATAATAACCTTTATTGGCTTATATGTCCCTGTTGAATGGTTTCACACACTATTTGGCCATGGGTTTGTTCATGACTATAACATAATTAATGTTTACAGGTAAATTAATTTTCACTTGAGAGGACAGTAATAGACTTAGGTTAAGAGCATGCTATTGAGAGACCCAAGAAACCAAGAAACTTAAAAAGCCATACTTGCTGTAAAAGTAGTGTTTAGTTCACTATATTTCATATATCCCTACCTCATGTTTACTATATATTTTGTGTATTCCTACCTCATGTTCATTGTACTTTATGAAATCTTAGTACTTTAAATCCTACCTCAGACCCCGTAGAATTAGGCATATGTCAGGTGCCGGGTAGTGACTGATTGTGTAGTTATATAATGGCTTAAGTAGTGTTTGTATTTAGAACTCTTGGGTTAAGCATTGTCAGTCCTAATTGCCATGCTGACTTCTGCTTTTATAACGGGATGTAAATGTTAAAGCAATAAGCCCCTTTCAGACATTCCTTTGCTATCGCAGTAGACTCTGAGGCGCTAGCTGCTCTCTAGGTGGGCTTTATGTTGATTTAAATCACCGGCTTC